TGGGGGTTAAGAGCCCTCCAAAGATTCTGCTCCCACTTTTTCCTCAGTAGCCAAAATCCCATCTCCTGGGGGCCCAGCTCCATCACTAGACCATGCTGCCTTCCCCCATGAACTGATCACCAGGTCTAGCAGGGCAGACCTGCACAGGCAACAACCCTGTTCCATATGCTCCCCTCATCCTCTGCTCTGCTTGCCAGCAACAACCATTCATATCCAGCCCCAAAAACCTTGTGCACTGCAGCTTGGGGGTCTCCACCCCACAAAGAGCCTGTCAGGAGCACAGGAGGCATGGAGGGAGTATGGGTGTCCCACAGCCCCTCTACAGAGCCATCACCAGTAAGGACACCACGGAGGCCACATCCTGCCCATTCAGCCTAAGGCTCTGCCACTGGTGGTGCTGGGAACAGAGGACCACAAGGTCCCTGCTCTCCCTGCAGCAATGTGCCTCCCTGTCCCCCAGCTGCACCAGGGGCAGGGATGTGTGGCCAGCAGCAGCCATTCTGCCAGTGTCAGGGACAGCCCAGCCCAGAGCATTCAGATTTGCACCTGGAAGCCAGAACCTCCATGCATCCCTGCTGCAGCGGTGGAGCAGAACTGCTGACACCACCCTGATGTGGGGCTGTGCCAGGGATGCGGGAGGGATGGAGCGGGATGGCTGCGGTGGGGCCTCACCCTGTTGCCTTGCACAGGGCTCTCTATCACATCCCAACCATGTTCACTTCTAGCACATGCTTTATGTGTCTGTGAGTTTAAACCATGGCACAACCCCTGCTCCAGTGTCACCCTGTGCTCCTCCAACACCTCCTGCTGTGCCTGAACCACACACCATCAAGCTACAGCTGCTGCGGCAGCACCTTCATGGAGACACGCACCCCACACCTTGTATTCTGGGAAGTGCTGTGAAGCTGGGGACACGTGTCCCCACTGCAAGCGGACACTGAGCAGCTATCACAGCCTGGCCATAAGCAACCTCCGGTGTTGGGATGTGCAGCTGGGAGCAGCCATGGTAAATCAGCCACTGGCACCCACTGTGGAGCCAAGAGCTGCCTCTTCTCCTGCAGAGCAGTCGGTGGGATGAGCACCAAGGCACCCTGGGGAAGATCCAGCACATGAACGAGCACCAGCAAGCAGGAGATGAGCCAGGATCTGAGTTTCAGCTTCTCCATCAGATAGGGCTGCTCCCACACAGGGTACCAGAAGTGTTTCCCTCTACAAGGCATCTCGATGGGAAAAAGATGGGAATTAATCAGCAGCCTAACCCTTCCAGATACTGCTGCTTCCTTTTTCGGCTGCAATGCTCAGCTCTGCCCTAACCTTTAGGATGGGGTGAGGCAACAGCAGAGGTACCTGTGCCTGCTGCCTGGCAGGGCAGGACAGGGATAGCAGGATCAGCTAACACCACAGAGAACAGGACACTTTGTCCTGGGTTACGCTGCCATGGAGGTGCCATGCACCCCACAGCTTTCTGCCCCATCGCACAGAGCCCCTGCACCCTGTGACAATGGGGATGCTGCACCCCCAGGGGTGTCTCACTGTTCCCCCGCAGGCCGGGCAGGGGCAGTGTCACCCCAGTTCAGTGTGGGAAGCGGCAACACGGAGCTCATGGAGCAGGGGACCAGCCCCACCTACAGCACGGTTACAGCTCTCTCAGCTGCCATGGGGCTGTGTTCCAAGCCTTGGAGATTTGAAACCCAGCAAGAAAACTGTCGGGGCAGGATGGCTGGGGCATCACAAGGAAAACCTCTCCCTGGCCACACTCAGCAGAGCAGCTCCACATCCTGCTCTGCCATTCCTAAGCAAGCAACTCAAACCTGACCTCTGAAACCAGAGCATCCTCTACGAGCCAAACCCTGGTGCAGTGGGGCTTGTACCTGGGCCAGACCCTGCAGCGAGCAGCCCAAGCCTCTCACTGGGTACAGCAGAGTGGTTTGGGAGGGCTATGGAGAGTGCAGCAGTGTGGATGCACGGCTGTGGTGTTCATGCATGGTGACCTCCAAAATGAGCCATGCTACAGCCACGTTTCTTTGCTGCATGGCCCAGACAGGGTCAGGGTTCCCATTGCTGCTGGAGCAGGGAGGGATCCATGCCCGGTAATGTCAGCATGCAGAGCACTGAAGGCAGCATAAAGGAGGGATGCTCAGAGCCAACCACCTCCCAGAGCCATCACCTGGGTTGGTGCATCATTTGGCTGCCTGGGTACCAGCATCTCCACCAGCCCATGGGAGAGCGAGGGGTCCTGCACCCTTATATGTATTTCCAGCATGTGGAGCCCACACATGTATGTAGACACACAGCTGTTGCCCACACCCTATGCCAAATAAGGCAGCCCTCACACCACGAGCCCCACGCTTCACTCCCCACGCACAGAGAACCTCCTGCCCCCTGCCATCCCTGAGCACCCCCAGCCTGCCCATGTCCGAGCTCACCTGCTCTTAGACAGCCCTGTTTGTTTGCCCAAGGTATTTGCAGCCGGGGGCACCTGCTTTGATACCATCAGCTCCGCGAAGGAAGCTGCTCACCTAGCGTGACCCCTGTAATCCCATCCTTCCCCATTAAGCACTGTGTGTGAGTGCATCCCCCCTCCCAGCCTCCTGCCATCTCAGCATTTCTCTCCCTCTCCCCAGCCTGAGCACATCAAGGCTGTGACATTGCTGAGGAAGGGGGAGAAAATCCTCCCATGTCACTTCAAAAGGGGCCTGCCATTGCCCCCTCTGGGACTGGGGTGTGCTCTCTCCCCTGCCACCAGCCTGTGGCAGTGCTGGGGTCCAAGCAGCACCCATGGCAAGGCCTTAGGCTGGGCTGATCCTGCAGCGGGGTGGACAAGACTGGTCTCTTGATGCCTCCTGCCACCAGCACCATGTCCCCTATGGTGCCACCTTTGCCCATTGGCAGGTCTGCCTGTCCTGTCACAGCACCTTGTCCCAGCTACCTAGATGCCCCTATGGAAACCAGCACCTTAAACTGTCTCCTTCTACTCTTTAAGAGATCAAATGCTCCTTCCCATTACCCAGTATTGCCTTTCCCACCCTGTATGAAGCAGCCATACCCCATTGCCAGGCCAAGCTGTGCCCACTCCCTCCCCACAGGGCTCCCCAGCCCACCCTTCCAGGAGCACTTTGTTAAAGGTGATCTACTGGCTCTTATCTCCCCTGAGCCAAGCTGCTCCTCCACTGAGAGCAAGCAGGACCCAGGCCCAGCAGGTGAATTAGCCCCGATCCCTTTCTGTGCACACAGTTAGGGAGATCCGCGGGGTTGTGTGTGTGCCAGCCCTAGCAGGGGCTGGGCACCATTGCAGCACTGATAAAGCCACAGCTCTGTTCACTACAATCATAGAATCACACAATGGTTAGGGCTGGAAAGGACCTTCAGATCAGTTAGCACCAACCCCACCGCCGTGGGCAGGGAAACTACCCTGAACTCCCCTCCTGCACCATCAGCGCAGGGCACTGGTGTGCTGTGCCCTGCCGGCACCTCTCAAACACACATCCATCCCTCGGCAGAGCACTCCTTCATCTCTTCTCTCAGCAAGGCTGCTCAATTGCCCCGCTTCCCCTAAGCTGCCCCAAAACAGTGATACTTGCCTGGGATCGAACAGTGCACAGACCACCATCCCCAGGCACCCTATTGTCCCAGGAGAACAAATACTTCCCTGGGGATGTGCGCTCTCCCAGGCAGCACCCATCCTTCCCGCAGGGCCAGACCCAGGCACTCTGCTCCATCCCGGCACCGGTGCTAGGTGCCCTTAGCATTGCAGGGAGAGGCGAGGACAGAGGCCGGGATCGCTGAGCCCCCGCCGCGCTGCCCGCCTGCCACCTAGCGGCGCCCCACGCCTCGGGGCTGGGGTAACAACATCCCTCTGCGGCAAGGGGCAGCACAGCTTCCCCCCGTGCTGGGCAAGGGCTGCTTGGGTCCATAAGGGAACAGTGGGGAAGTGGAGAGGTGCTACTTAAGCCCCAGAGGAGAGAACTGGCCCAGCTCACAATGGGGGACAGAGCCTGAGCTGAGGATCCACCCTGGAGTCCATGCAGGTGAGAAACTCACTGTCCCGACAGAGCCAGCAAGGCAGAACAGTACATGATGCTTCTTGGGGTCAATAGCCAATATAGGATTGAGACAGGCATCAACCCGTGGACCAGGGATCATAGAGCCATAGAACCATAAAACAGCTTTGTTTGGAACAGATCTTCAAAGGTCATCTAGTCCAACCCCCCCGCAACGAGCAGGGACATCTTCAACTACATCAGGCTGTCCAGAAGCACATCCAGGATGGCCTTGAACGTCTCCAGGGATGGCGAGTCCACCACCTCTCCGGGCAACCTGTGCCAGTGTTTTACCACCCCCATTGTAAATGTATTTCTTCCTCAGGTCCAGCCTGAATGTCCCTTTTTAGTTCAAAATCATCACCCCTCAGCCAATCGCAACAGACCTTGCTAAAAAGTCTCTCCCCATCTTTCTTTATAGGCTCCCATGTTATAAGGATGGAAGATGAGAGGTCCCACCTGACTCAAGCACAGAAAGGATGAAACCCTCCTCCAGATACCCAGACGTAGGGGACACAATGCCCCAGCACAGGCCTGAGCTCAGACCTGCCCCATGCCCTGCAGGCACTGGTGTCACCCATCCCCAGGACACTGCTTGACTGAGAGCGACACAGTGAGGACTTTACCATGCCAGTGCCCAGCACGAGGGCTCATGTGTCCCAAACCAAGGGGGTGTTGCTAAGCTGGTCACCTCTGAGAGCACACGTGGAGCTGGTCCCTGCCCCACACAGCTACCAGCAGCTCTGCCTCTTCCCTTGGTAGCCTGGATGCTGCACTGAGCTGGGCTCATGAAGCACGAGTGTGCAGAGCTCCTGCGGGACAGAGGAGCCCCCAGATCTGTCCTGGGAGCTCTGCAGCATTGCCAAGGGAAGCAAGGTGAGGGACTGGGCACAGAAGAGCATTTCCCACTGCAGTGCAGATGGGAGGAACCTGCCAACCAGCAGTGACCCTGCTCCAGGCTTGATGTGTAAGACCTTTATTGAGAGCGTAAAAACAGTTCTTTACAAAGCAGATTGACCCAGAGCCTCCCACCAAACCCCAGACAGGCTCTGAGCTCCCACCCCACCATAACTGCAACTGAGGACACAGCCTGGGCCCCAGTTTCACATTTTCAACTGTATAAACCCCATCAAATTGTGAGTAAAGAACAGCAAACAGACTAGAATCAGTAAAAGTGCCTGTTCCACCACTGGCTGTAAGGGGAAAGGGCCAAGACAGGTATTCCAAAGCCAGCAGGAGGGAGTGCACAGAGCAGAGGTCTAGGACAGCAAAAAGGCACAGGGTAAGGATCACCTCCTGCATCCCTGATTCCCAGGCAGGGATGGGGGAGAAAGATTATACCAGCAGCATCTTTCCAGTTTTGGGATCAAGCTCCCAGGGCTGTGGGAAAGGAGACACCCCAGTACTGGGAGCAGTCCCTGCTTCCCAAAAAGTTCCAACACAAAAAAATGAAAGTAAAAACAAAGCAGCAAACATTGAGGTCCTGGCAAAAGGTGTCCGAGGTAAACGTCATCCGGGGAGAGAAGTCCCTGTGAGTACCTAGAGGAAGAACCAGACTGAGACCAGCAGCCTCCTGCAGCAGGCCAGTTTCTACCCATGCTTTCCACACCAGGTACTGAGACCCTTCCCCTGAGGCTGCCTGGCCCCTCACCTTGTCTTAAGTTACTGCTTCCTCCTGTACTTCTTGGCTGGCTTGATAGGAGGAAGCTCCTCCTCGTCAGACAAGTCATCCTCCTCCTCGTCAGACAGGTCATCATCCTCCTCAAAGGAAACATCTTCCCTGTGCACTGGAACACACAAGTAACTGTTACACACCAATGTATGTCTTTGCAAGAGCAGCTGACCCCCAAAAACACTCCAAGAACAGAATTGTCCAAAGAGCACTGGAGCAGGTCTAACAGCAGCTTGTGGTGAGAAGCTGTATCACAGCTGGAGAGAGGTCTCAGACAGGAAAGGTGAGAGATAGCCATTGAAAAGGGGGCAGCATTGGTCACCCAGACCCCTTTTCCCATGCAGGCTTTATGGCAGGGAAGGGATCCCTGCATGGAGACAGCCCCTGGGGAACCAGCCCAAAGGAGGCATCGAGCACATCCCCCAGGGGCTCCCCAGGCAGTGTTCATGCTGGTGGGGGCCCTTCATTACCCCTCGCTTCCCCAAAGCCTTTCCCCATCAGAGTCCTCACCTATCCTGTGCCAGCCAGCGAGGTGCACTGGGCCAGAGCCTGCTGCCAGGCGAAAGGTCACTGGAGGCTGCAGCTCGAAGTTGTTCAGACTGAGCTGCAAAGAGACAGAGATGGAGCTGAGTGAAGGGCAGAGGCTAAAAAGGAGAATATCCTGTAGTCTCCAGCATGGCACCTCTCCCATGGGACCCAGGGCATTTCCCTGTGAGCTGCAGACCAGCTCATGGTCAGTTCCTTACAACCCGAGTCTTTAAAACAAGCTCTTACCAAGGGCTGGCATGACAACTTCAGATTTGCCACCGGCACAGCAATCTCCTGGTTCTCATGGTTTCGCCCCACAACCTCCACCACGTTGCACTCATCCTTGGCACCGTCTGTGAGGCAGACCTGGGTGGAAATGGAGATCATCAACTACTACTGCTCCCCCAGGGGCTCTCCATGGGACAAGCAACTGTCAGCCAATACTACCAGCCCAGCTGCCATAGTGTGAGAGCACTGCTCCACAGAACAGGGAGAGCACAGAGCTCACCAAGCAATGTCCCCCTGACCACCTCCAGAGTGGCTCTGTGGCTTTCCCAGCTGGGACCCTGTAACCACCTCAAGTGATGGTTTGTGAGCTGCATTTTCTGCTGATCTCATCCACAACAGCATATCCCAGGATGGAAAACATCCTCCAGAGCGAGCCAGGGATGAAGCCCCTCAATCCACCTGGGCTTGGAGAGCAACAAGCCAGCTGGTGGGGAGGGCATGTTCTAATGAGAGGCTCCAGCAAGGTCAAAGACAAGGAAAAAACACTCCTTCACACCATAGCTACAGTATTCCTCTGCTGAGCAGCCTCCTGCCACCACTGGCTTTACCTAAGCACCTCCATACAACAGATAAGCACCACAGCCCCATGTCCTGCCCTCAGCACAGCCAGGGCAAGGACCTGAGAAAAGGGAGTCCCCTGGTCCAGCCCAGCCAGGGGTGGTGGAATGAGCCTGGGAAGGGGGTGTGAGGCTGCGGGTTACTATGGGAGAGAACAAGCATAATTAATTCTTATTTCTCTTACCACAGACAGGGCCAAAATGTGCTCAGAGTCATCTTCATCGTCCACCTGAAACGTGTAGGATTTGGTACTGGCAGTCAGCTCACAGCCTAGAAAGAGAAGATATGAAAAGCTACAGCAGCCATCACATAGCCCCAGGCACAGGCACCCAGGCTGAGCCTCAGCTGGCCATGCACATGGCATCCATAAACCACTTGATTTCCCATCCTCAAGAGCAGCCTCCAGTCTCCAGGATAAAATGTTCCCATGAACTATGCTCCTGGCTCAGTACCACACAGGGACAAAACCTCATGTCCCATAACGGGGATGCCATGAGCACCACCCAGGGGCACCCAAGGCCACTGAACACAGGCAGGGCAAGGCTCATCTCCTCCAGAGAGCAGAGAAACCAGAGCACATGGCTGTGGATGATGGGAGCAGCCAGAAAGGAGGCTGAACTCCCCCCACCTTCAGCAGAACATTTGCTCTGGGAGCAGACACACAGCATTAGACATGATGAGGATCAACCCAAGGGGAGGGTGCTGGACCAGGCTGCAGGGAGCTGGAGTCCCTCACGTTTTGAGGGGGATTTCATTACATACTCCTCCAAACAGCTACAAAACCAAGGGAGATACAAAATCTTGTCCTTAGTTCTTAGGATGAGGATTCAGGCGACCACGTGGAGGAAGGAATGGCAGAGTGCCCGGGGTGAGTTTGCGTGTTGCAGGATGATTCACTGCCGTGAAGCAGACCAGGCAAAAACAGAGCTGAGCCCTGCATACCAGACCCGGCATTTGAAACGGAAAGGAATTAGCTCCAGGCAGGGCCTCTTCCCATCCCTCCTACAGTGCTCGCAAGATCCCCAGGGCAATGACCAAACTCAGAAGGGGGGTTCGGGGGTGCTGTGCTGTTCCACATTCCCAAGCCAAGCGGCTGGGCACGCTTTGGGCTGTGCGCAGCGCAGGGCCTCGTGCGCGGGGTGGCCCTGCCCGGGCGAAACCCGCCCCGGAGGGGAGGGACGCGGCTCCATGCCCGTGGAGCACAGACACGGGAGAGGCCGTCCAGAGCCGGGGCTTCCCCCCACCCCATTGCTCGCAGCCTTCTACACCCATGAATGCCCCCAGAGGGCTCCCCTCAAACCGGCCCAGGACCCCCACCACGTGTCCGCTCCGTCCCAGGCCCAGGACACGTGTCCCGCTGGCCCGGCCCCAGCTCGCCAAGCTACGGGAGCGCGCTGGGGGCCCTCACCCCATGCCCCGGCCTTACACACGTGCCTACGTGTCCCAGTGTCCTGCCGTGGCCGTTCCCCCACTTCCCCCAGCAGAGACCTTACCCTCCAAGGCTCAGCAACGCGCTCTACGTGTCTTTCCAGAGCCACGTGTTTCTACACCCCCCCGTGTCTCTCTATAACAGGGACCTGCCGGGTCCCTATTACCCCCTCTCAGCGTGTTTCCCCCTCTCCCCATTCCTCCCCACGTGCGTTTCCCCGTCTCCGCGCCGCTCTCGTTACTCCCCCCTTTTCCCCCTTCCTCCGTCTCTCTCCTGACCCCATTTATTGCCCCAACGTGTCTCTCCCACCCCCCATCCCCTCCATGTCTCTTTCCCCGCCATCTCTCACACCTTCCCCCCCGCGTGTCTCCCGTACCTGGTCTATTACCTCTCCCCCCCATCTATGATCCTTCACATGTCGTCCCGTCTCCCCAACTCCTTCTTACCACCCCCTCCCCGTATCCCCACTCACCGAAGAGGACGCTGCCGGGGCCGTGCAGCTCCATGAGGCGGCAGGGCAGCGATGAGAGAGGGGCGGGCCGAGCCGGGCCGTGCCGTGCTGAGCCGTCATAGCTTTTGCCGCCCCGCCCCGGCATGGCCCGGCCCGGCCCGGCCCCTGCCCGAGGGTGACCAAACCGAAGAGTCCCGCACGCAGCTTCGCCCGGCATCCTGCTAGGGGGACCCCGCTGGCAACAAGGTGAAGGGGTCCTTTATGGAAGGGCTCGCTCCATGCCCTTTATGGAAGGGGTCGCTCCATCCATTCGCCGAATGCCGCTGCTATAGCGTTTTATTTCCTTTCTATAAAAGCGTAACGGTTATTAACCCAGCGCGATCCTAATAACTTTCCGTGCTAACTGGCCACCCTTCACTCTCTGGGGGACAGGCAGGAGGGGGAATGGTGGAAGGAGAGAGGGTATTTGTGAGGGGGAGTGTCTTAACTTTGTGAGGAGGGTAAACAGCCCAACAGCCACCCAGGAGATGAAAAGGCACCACCACGTCTTTTTACAACCCATCCTGGGCCTTCAGCCGAAGTATTTTCTGACCACACTGCTGGCTATGGAAATGGCAGAGTGGAAGAGTGTCCCTTACTAGCAGCTGTCCATCTACTGCCCTTTTCATGGTCACCATCCTGGCTCCAGGGCACCAGCTTTCCCAGACACTGGGAGAGGATAGAGGAAGGGCTGTAAGAACGCTGAGAGCCTGAAGAAGGGGAGCAGTGGTCCAGAACAGGAATAGGGACCAAGGCCAGGGCATACCAGAGGGATCTGCTCATCTCTAAGCCTGGGTGAGGGCAACAGCAGAAGTCTGGCACCAGGGACTGTGGTGCAGGAGCCTCCGAACAGAGGCAAGGTCCTTCTTCAAGACATAGCGCAGGGAGCAGAGGCCTGGGATGGTCTTTCAAAGCTGAAAAGGAAGCAGCCTGGGCCGTGCTGCAGGGGTACAGTGGGGGAGCAGCTGAATTAAAACTAACCCCACTAACGATGAACTCAAACCACACTGTCAGGAGCTGGCTCTGCTCCCACTATATAGGAGACCTCCACAGCCACCCATTTGCTCTGCTCCAACCGCAGCTGCTTCAAGAAAAACACAGTTGAGGTTTGAAAAGCCAAACCTGGTGCCAGAAAAAGGCAAAAATACAAGTGGTCGCTCAGCAAGGGTTATACAAGTGTGCTTGTTTGCTTCTGCAGTAGTTGCTCTCTGCAGCCATCAGGCTAGTGGCCCATGAGGCAGGCAACAGAGCTCACTTCTGCCTCCCACTCCCTTTCTTGAGGGACTTTCTGGTGCAACAACAGAATCCAGTCCTGTGTTTGACACAAGCCAATGGACACTGCCATTTCTGCTGTAACTTTGTGAAATAGGCTTCAAGAAACAAAAGATAACTACATGCAACACATGGTGAATTTGTGAACAGCTATCATTTTAACATAGCACACATATACTGGATTAGGAGAAGCTCAAGTGCCAGTTTCCCTGCTCAGTTGGCATGTACAGCTTTTGAACTGCATAACCTGTTCTTCTGCAGCACGTGGATGAACACTTGTGAGCTAACCTTGGGAAAACACAGCTTTTCATAACCCTGACTCAGCCCTCCTGCCTGGCTGTCAACTTTATACATACAGGAAGCTACTTGCTGTAGCTGTCTCAGGAGCTTCTCCCAGTTAAACTGTGTGGATGTACAACTGTGGAACTTCGATGTTTGCCCCTTGCACACAGCATAGCCCTCAAGTCACTTCACCTCTCCCCATGTTTCTGTGGTCAGGTTCCTCTGGGCTTCAGCAGCCTCAAGCCAGCAGCCAGTAAGACAAAAAGTAATGAGGAAGAAGGGACACATGAGCACTGCTGCCACACTCTGCCTTTGACAGAAACTGGAAACCACCTTTAAAAGAGCTGCTTTTGTTTCCAAACAGGTGAAGTTCAACTGGCAATACTCACAGAAGAGACAACCACAAAGGTCACTGCCACCCTGAAGTGTTGTCAAATACCTGCCCCTGAAAAGCAACAGCACAGATAAAAGCCTACCATGGAATGCACTGCCACCACCAAAACCAGAGACAGGGTTCTTTGACATCTGATCCTGAGCCCATCCAACAGACGTTACATGATGTAATACGCACTGCCAAACCGCTTCTGGTTCTGGGACCTCACACACAAAACATGTTTCTTATTTACGTTCACTTCTCAATTTTTATTCTATTTCTCGCATGGTCTTCAAATACAGTTTTACAGGTCGTTTTTTTCTGCTACAGATACTGTTGATCTAAAAACAGAATAATGAAAGTGGCATTCCAACCTTAATGAAAATTCATAACCATGAAAGATATGTCAATGTATCGCTTTACAGTCCTAGAATGATGGTATTGGCCTGACGTTCCATAGGCTTATACAATTAACTTCTATAATAATAACAAAGTCATAGGAAGAGAAAATGTGGCAACTCCTTAAAAGCCAAGAAATAAGGCCACAAGCATCCTATGCTGTTATGTTATGCATCCAGATAAAGTAAGTTGACTCTGGTATCCATGAACAACACTCTCCCAACCTGATAAACCAAGGTATCAGCTATTCAACATGCATTCAAAGCTGTATAAAAACTAGTGGCATTCAGCTCTGACTTGCATGAAATCCTGTAACACAACCCCTTACTTCTCTCTAAAAAAAAATGAAATGAACTTGCTTCAACTTAAATACTTTGATACCGCATTAAAAAAATTGTTCACATTCTGCAAAGGAGAAAGAAAACAAAAACAAAAAAAAAGAAAAAAACCCACAAAAAAACCCAAAACAAAACCAAAAAACCATCCTGTATATGACTACACCAGAAGGCCAAACACAGTATTGCCTCATACAGACAATGTTACTGCAGTCTTAACGCCGTTCGTTACAGGTTATGTAACTTCTATGCAGCTGGAGGCTCATAAAAAGAACTTCCTCTGTGCATCACTGAAAAAAACCCCAGGAAAATTAAAAAGGAAGAGAAAGACAGCGGATGGCAGCAGGTGAATGAAGCAAGGTACTGCAAGCTGCGTACCATTGGCCAATTGTGTATCTGGGCCACTGGGACTTGTGTGAAATACCAGTTTCATAAATGATGCAACTAGCTCACTAACAGATCCCATACGACGCTGATTCCATCCAATAACCAAACATGTCAGTCCTGTGTAAAAACATTAAACTCTTGGAACATTTAAAAGTAGGTAACCATTTAAATAATGTGTAAAAATGTGCTTATTGTGGCATCTCTTATAGAAAAGTTATTTGATACAAATGTGCAGGACTCGAAGACCCTGATTAATCCAACTGGTACAAACAGGCTTTGAAACGTGGTGACTGTTCCAAGGACAAGTCTCAGCTGCGGGACAGCTCTCTCCCTCTCACCGTCTTTTGTCCACAATCCCATGTGAATGTTACCAAGCCCCCTTGTGAATTGCTGTTTCAGTCCCAAGAGAATGATAACCTCACACAGTGACAAACTGCTGTCTGAAGGAAGGATCGTTTGGGATCTGCTCCCCCTACCCAAGATGGTCAGCCCCTAGCCCTGGGCATGAGGCACAGTAAGAAAGGTCAGTGCCAAGGACAGATTTGTTCTCCATTGTGGTTTTAGGTTATTCCAAAGTGCCACCTTGGACCTATACCATTTCACTTTTGAAAAGAAAAAGTTACAAAAACCGGTAAACAAAAAGTTAGTCAGCATACAGCTAAGTTTATATACACTGAAGTTTACAATGTTGTCATTAAGTGACTTCTGCCACAGACCACTGCACATTTGTCCCTAACAAAGCACAAAGTTTGAACCAATGGTCATTAGAAGTGACAACGGGTCATTGCTTTATCAACAAGCATAAAGATAGTCAAAAATAGAACTGTAGCTACTTATCTTTAAATTTGCTGATTGACATAGGCAATCCCTCCCCTTCGTGCAACTTCCAGCTGCACATCCCGCTCTATGACAAAGAAACAAGCTGCACCTTTACAGGTACTTCTGCCAGAGACCACTTTTCTGCCGACACGTGAGTGCAGAGAACTGTCATCAACCACAGGACCGATTGAGAGGGATTCCTCCAAGAAGCTATAGCCCATGCAAGATTCCTTGGCACTTCACACAGGACCAGAAGAGGACAAGGTTTCTTTGTTAAAACAGTGTTTTCAGCAGCATTATCCCCTTCCAACAAATTACAGTCTGAATGTGTGATGGGTGATTTTCGCATAGCCCCTTCTACCAAGCTGGTTTATTCCTGGCTTTGTGCAGCTAGACCATATGAAGATCCCCACCACTACCTCCCCAGCTGTTTAAGGGACTAGGGTACTGGAACAGTTCACTGTCAAGCACTTCACAGGCTTCTTCCAAGGATAACAACATCCTTAGGAAATCCTTCCATTTTAGCAATTTCAAAACAACCCAGCTTGCTGTAAAATTCCAGGATTCTTTTATCATCTGGTCTCACTTCACAAAAAGCCCCACGGGAGCCTGAAGGAGGAAAGGAACAAAACACCATAGAAGAAGTTACTTTAACAAGCACAGACATCAGATATCACCGAAGTTCCCACCTATTGTAACACTTAAACCCAATGAAATCACTGATACAATTTTATACAAAGTATAGTGCCCAAGAGATCAGATTTATGGCTACATAGCTGACCACCTCCTGAAGGCACCATACACTGCAGATGTCAAGTCTGAATGAACCCTCTGCACACCTTTTATTTCACTTAAAAGCATCCTGAAACTCTGATGTTGTCTCAGAAAACAGCACCAAATTGCACAAAGGAGCTTGAATCTCAGGTGCACAGTCAGGCAGACATCCAAGAACTTCCCCATATTGAAGGTTTTGGTAATTACCCACCAGCTGCCACACAGAAGAAGCAGCATCATTACCAATACCAGGAGGGGAAACAGAAACATTTGTGTGCCATTCAAGATGTAAAAATGTGTGCTCCTATTGTCAAATTGCTCCCTCGGTTCTTCCTATTTTCTAACTTGCAGGATAATGGCTAAAGTGAAAAGCTACTTCTTATCAAGGACAGCAGCAGAAGTCAGCTATCCAAAAAGCTTTTGTAATTATTTTCCTAAGTCTAGAGTGTCAGGAACAGAATCTCTCAGGCTGACACGCAAGTATAGTATGTTAATATAACCGCCTAAGTTAGTCTTGCATCCTAGAATTAACATATACTTAGGAAACAAGGAATTTTGAGTGCAAGAAG